ATAAAACACAGTGGACCAACACCAGCAGCTGACATGGCACCCCAGGCCATCACTGACTGTGGGTACTTGACACTGGACTTCAGGCATTTTAGCATTTCCTGCTCCCCAATCTTCCTCCAGACTCTGGATCTTGATTTCTGAATGACATGCAAAATTTGCTTTCATCCAAAAAATTACTTTGAACCACTGAGCAACAGTCCAGTGCTGCTTCTCTGTAGCCCAGGTCAGGCGTATCTGCTGCTGTTTCTGGTTCAAAAGTGGCTTGACCTGGGGAATAAGGCACCTGTACCCATTTCCTGCACACACCTGTGCACGGTGGCTCTGGAAGTTTCTACTCCAGACTCAGTCCACCGCTTCTGCAGGTCCCCCAAGGTCTGGAATTNGGTGTCAATGATGTCCTTCTGGACAGCAGTCAGGTCAGCAGTCTGACCCATGATTGTGGTTTTGAGTAATGAACCAGACTGGGAGTTTTTAAAAGCCTCAGGAAATCTTTTGCAGGTGTTTAGAGTTAATTTGTTGATTCAGATGATTTGGTTAATAAGTCGTTTAGAGAACCTTTTCATGATAGGCTAATTTTTTGAGACAGGGATTTTTGGTTTTTCTTTACTTTTTTGTCAAAATCATCAATATTAAAACAATAAAAGGCTTGAACTACTTCATTTGGTGAGTAATGAATCTAAAATATATGAAAGTTTAATGTTTATCAGTACATTACAGAAAATAATGAACTTTATCACAAAATGCTAATTTTTTCAGAAGGACCTGTATATAAAATTCAGTTGAACCTAAATTTACAAGATTTCACTAGTTGAATTTTACTAAACTTGTGCTTATATTTTAGCCATGTACAAGTTGTTTTGATGAAAAGTGAAGGAGAAAAGTATTTTGTAAAATGAATATAAAACAGGCCCACAGTGAAGACGGTCTTTGTATTTATGTGCAGGAGCTTCCAGCTGCAGAGGAAGTGTTTGTGACCTTACCAGAGGAAGCAGAACTGCGGCCGGTGGGAACAGTTTCCAGTATTTTACACCAGCTCGGTAAACAGCAGTTTTTTTATTTCCTTTCACTAAAAACTGTGGACACAGGTTGTGTCTTTAACCTGCGCGTCCATCTGCTCAGTTATTATCCAGTCTCTGAAGGACACGCCTCCTCTGAAAGACGACAGCATCCTCTTTACCTCTGATAGGGTGGCTGTAGGAAAGGTGAGAGCATCAGCAGAGTTTACGCACATTCAGCTGCATCCTTCATGTTAATGACATGTGCTTCATGTGTTCAAGGTGTTCGAGGTGTTTGGACCTGTTGCCAGTCCTTTGTACATTTTACATTTTAACTCTGAAGACCAGATTAACAGCAAGGGCCTGACACAGGGAATGCTGCTTTATTACGCCCCYTCCATCAAAGAGTACACAGGATATATTCTGACCCAGCAGCTGACACTGTAAGAACACACATTCTGTAAGCTTTAGAACACACTAAAACTGATGAGCTGAAATGTTTGAGTTAAAATATTGTTTCATACAGAGCAAAGGGATCTGATGCCTCCTGGAAGAATGATGAAGAACCACCAGAAGAGGTAATCACTGTAAACACTGTTCTTTGGTCACAGGGTTGATATGGTTACATTTATCTTTGAAAAAAGACAGTTTCATTGAGTGTTTTAAGGAATAAAATTATTATTGTTGTTGGTGTTGTTGTTGTTGTTGTTGTTAAGCTGACACCAACAACAGGAACCAACACAGAGACTAAAGCCAGTATTTGACTGGGCTGTAACTGCACAGGTGGGCAGTAACAAATAGGGGTGTAAGAAAATATCGATACACTGAAATATCGCGATGTTTCATTTCCCGATACTGTATCGATATTCTAAAGCCCTGTATCGATTTTTTATTAAGGTTTAAAACGTCAACTTTCCTGCCAACCGTTCATTTTTATGTTGTAGTTCAGCCTCTGACCACTAGTTGGCAGCAGTGAGCCAGTCATTCCTCCTCTACTCCTCTACCTCTTGAGTGCCAGAG